TTTTGTCAATGCTATGCGACAGGCCATATCTGCTAGAGGTTGAGGTTGTAAACTCCTTATCATCTTCGTTTTTTCCTGAGACGATTGCTGCATAAGATGCGCTGTTTTTGCTTGTAAATCGAGATGGATCATGAAGTGACGTATGATGGAACCCTCTACATTGCTGACATCGTCTCTCTGAATTGCAATTGTTTCTTGAATGGCGAGAACTTAAGCAATTTATGCAAAGCTCATGCTGTTTTACCAAATTATATTTTTCAACTGGTGCTAAGCTCTGGTAGCGGGTGCAATGAGCCAAAAAATGTTCCTGCGAACAAATGAAGCACTTTTTAGAAGGATATTGGAATTTGGTTGTCGTATTGATGTCAGACCCCATTTTAGCGTTTTGCTTACTTCCCAAAGACGTTTGATTTTGTGTCTTAAGCTCCTGATCTTTGACCGCTGACGTCCCCAGAAACGAGTGCTCCCCTTGTAATCTTTCCAATACTTTAGCTTGTATTTCAAGCCACTCCTGAAACAATTGTACGTTGTTGTTTTGAACATTTTCACGGACAGCGTATTCAGTCCATTTCATAAGTAAATTGTCAGGAACTTTAGTTTTGATAAGTTTGAGTAAAGCTGTAGAATGCAAATCTGCTTGAAAACCCAAATTTTGGAAGGTTCGAACTAACTGTTTCAAAAAGGATGCGAATGAAACAACTGAACGATTGTTACTAGTTGAGGACGGCCAAGTTTCAATTTGCTGAATGAAAGCATTTACAATATAGTTTGAGTCGCCAAAATGATTTTGAAGGTCCCTCAGTGCGGCTTTGTAAAAAGCAGGGTTACATGAGTACCCTTTGATGAGTGCTTTTGCTTTTCCTGACACCGAATCCTGTAGATAAGTCATCCGGTGAGTGTCACTAATTGTATGATTCCTATCAACTGTAGCCTGGAACATGTTTATCCAGTCGTGGTAAGCCATCGGGTCTCCGTCGTAGTTAGGTAGCTTAATTGGAGGAAGTTTAACAGAAAACTTATAGTCAATTTTTTCTTGTCCGGGTAAAAAACTTGCGTAAGTTTCAGAGTTGTGCATTGTTGGAATGGGTCGAGCTTGGTTGTAATTCTGATAATTGAAAAGTTTTGAATTACTTTCTCCAAATGGATCTCTATTCTGTTGCCTGTTTGATGAAATTGGATTATTTATAGCCTGATCAAGATGATGTTGCGTAGGAAGATTGTTTGTTTGGTAGCTATTACCAACGTGAGTATCCGTTATCTGGTTGTAGGGATGGTTTTGCACAAGCAGATGCGGTGGAATTTGGTTGTAGTTAGGATGAATGAGGTATCCTGAATGATTTTCTTTAAGCGCGTCTCTATTCTGTTCGCAGTGTGTTGATATCGGGTTGTTGAAAACCGGTTCATGACAATGATGTGCATGTAGAATGTTTAATTGATTTTTATCAAACCCATGACTATCCACTACCTGGTGCCTTTTAATATCCCCATGACTATCCACTACTTGGTTGTTCAAATCCAAAGTTCTTTGAAACTGTTCAACCGAGTGACTTTGAGCAAACGGGTTCCGATTCGCTTGTATGACAGTAGGGGGAGATGTATACTGCTCTAAATTTTTCTGATGAGTTAGATGGAAATTATTTTCCTTTGAAGTTGATGTTTGTATAGCGTTTCCTGGTTGCTGACGATTGGAATAAGCAAATGAAGATTCCAATGAAAATTTTTCGTGGAGATTTGCATGGACTGCTGGAGCTGAAAACTGAAACGAATCATGGCTTCGATTCAAATGTAAGTTGTCTGGCAATGCTTGGTGTACTGATGTTAGTAGTAGTTGATTCGTTGGTTGAATAGTTTGTTCATATCCTGTAAACCTTTTTTGTTCCAAGCTTTCTTCTCTTGACTGAGAACTTAGAGAGGTCAACTCTCTAGACAATGATTCGTTTGCAGAGTGGTTCAAAGATATTTGCGGTACGTCGGTGGTTGAGTGTTGGTGAAGTAGCATGTCGTTCTGTAAGTTAATTGGCTCTCCATCAGATGAATTGTTCACGCGGTTGCTAGAGGGCTGAGTGAAGTGATTTTCGGCATAAGTGTCCTTGACGAAGGGGTTTCGCCGGGATACAGGCGTCGATTTGTTTACGTTTATTGTATTAGAACCAGAACAGCTGGTTAAGTCTTCGCCTAGAGTGTTGACGTTGTGGGTTAGCTCTATAAGTTGTCGTGAAAGACATGCACATATCTCCATAGCGTCGTCGTTCTCTTCCGAAGATCCATTTGCGAACACTTCGGTTGCTATTACTTTCATTTGTTCTAATCGGTCTTCTGTTTTCTGCGCCAAAGTCTTCAAAGAACTAATATGGGTCCCTCTTTCTATCTGTGACTGTAAGAACTCCATAGACCGGCTCATTTCGATTCTAGCCAGCCTGAATTTACTTGAGGCAATTTTTGCAGTTATTGTTGACGTCGACGAATTGTTGGTATTGGTATCGTCCATAGTTGTTGAGAGTCGTAGATAAGGACGGCGCTTGTTCCGTTTCGGCCGTTTTTTTTTTTTTTTTTTTTTTTTTTTTTTTTTAACCTCTTATTCAATTTTACTTCAAACTAAAGTTAGAGAAAAAAAAAAAACTTCGAATGTTTTCTTCAATTTGTTTTTGTTAAAATGTTTGCTGTTGTTTTCAAAATATTTAAATGTTTTTTGAGGGAAAAAAAAGACTTGCTATTTTTTTTTTTTGGTAAACTCGAAATTAAATGATTTTTTTTTTTTTTTTTTTTTTTTTTTTTTTTTAGTTGTTTCCGTGTTATGGTAATTTACAGGCTACACTCAAAGCAAGGATACAAAGGGACGACAATTTTCCAGAAACAACGAGAGGAAAACGCATCTACACACAAACACAATTTAAAACGAGACAAAGGAAGGACAATTATATTCGCACATTAAGACAAGAGAGACCCAGACAACATGCTCAACAACTGCTTCACCATCTATTATTGTAAAAATAATATTCGTCGTTTTTTTTTTTTTTTTTTTTTTTTTTTTTTTTTACGAAATGATAAAATGCCGAAAAATAACTATCTTTTGGAAAAGGGGGTTTTCGGAGTATCCCGTTTACGGAAAAACAAAAAGTCGCGACAGCGTCGATTCAAATCGGGTTTCTTTTTTACTCAGATGCGCTCAAAATAACTTGGTTTTCCTTGGTTAGGTGGAGAGCAAGTCTGAAAGGAAAACGGCTAAGAAAACTGATAAATTTTGGAGGTTTTGTTATTAAAACAAGTTAAGTTTTGCTCTCAAACTCGCTCTCCTCAGAGTAGTTACACGCAAATTTGTTCGCTCAACTCGGGGTTACAAATCAATATCAATGTACAAGTAAACATATATTGATTAATGCAAACATTTATTTTTTTTTTTTTTTTAAGAAGACATGTACATTTTGTCAGATCTTTTCTCTTCTTCCTTTTTTTCTTCGATGATGTTCTTGTCAAAACTTATTTCTCAATTCTCTGTTTTTTTTCTATGTCTTCTGTTGTTGAATACGTGACATGCAGCTGTTGAATATATTTTCCAAATAATGTGAACTGCGCAGTCGGTTGTGTAGTTTCGTCTTCACAGATTATTTTCAAGGGTCAAACAAAAAAATCTGGTGTGCCAGTCTGAAGAAAAATACCGGGTAAGATCAGGGATCAAGTGTATTGAAAGGGGGTGTTTTTGTTTTATTGTTTTTTGAGATATCAGAGTGAAAAAAAGAGAATTTTGCTCAAGTTAGTCGGCTGTCAAAAAAGGATGATAATTTTCGCTGTTCAGCATTCGCCAAAGCATGTAATGATAATCTTTCTTATCAACAAGATTCACGAAGGTTTAATTCAAACTTTTCAATGGTATGTTACAAATCGCAGTGACTTTAGAATCAATTTATGACTTATTCGATGATTTATCAAAGTGCGGGAAAGTTGCTTCAGCAACAAACCATTTTTTATATAATTTATAATCATTTTATCAATTTACAAAGCACCGATGGAATTGTCAAAATCGTCTCTGCAAACCAAAAACCATGCAAGTTTTTGCTGGGGTTTTATGAATAATAATCAATTTTATAAGATTTTCAATGCTAGTCCCTGGAAAAAAAATCAATTGTAATCGATTTAAAATGTATTATAATTTACTTTTTGTCGTATCAATAAAATGCACCTAGATACTTTATTTGATTATAATTGATTATAAAATGAATTTAGCTACTTTATTTAATTATAATCATTTATAATGGATTATAATGGATTTATACGATGGATTAAAACTTCAAACACAGTGCAGTATAATTCAAACTTAATAGTTGCTTTGAGCTTCCATGATCCACGATAAAACGAGATTTAGTTTTGTTTATGAAAAAATTAATTTTTTTTTTATACAATGATAGTTTCTCGGGGCGGGGGATGGGGCTGGAGGGGAGGGGGGTGAAGATGAGGAAAAAATAAACCGGGGGAAGGATTGAACGTGTACGGGGAAAATGAGGGAGAATTAAACAGGCGTTATAAAATTGAGTAGGTGCAAAGAAACATAGAGATAATTATCAACTATAATGGCTTTTAAATGGATTTTATTGGATTGTTTTTACGGAAATAATTGATTAGAATGACATTATAACCAAGTTCGTGGTCCATATTTGCAACAATCAGGGATTATATTGACAATATTTAGACCAACTTTTTTTTGTATTATAATCGATTTTTGCCCATGCAACTCTGGTGTGAGATGATACTGTTTGACTGTTTTATTGAAAATCGTGAAAATAGTGATTTTTTAAAAATCTGAGTATAGAAAAATGATGCTGAAACAAGTCTACTGCAGATATTGTTTACTGCTATCAGTTTTCTTGACAGCAACTCTAATTTATATAAAATTAAATATACAATCTGGAAAAAAAATTACAGGAAAGCTTTGCAATCCGCATTCAAAATGCCGATTTAATCTCCAAAAATTCTTTTTGAAGTTGAATTTTTTTATTGATCTATTGGTTAAAATTAATCTATTTAAATGACTTAACTTCAAACACAATTTGAATTTGAAGTTCAAGCTTCTGGAAGGAAGAATATTCCAGTAGTGATGAGGATGACAGCCAGCATGATGGTCCCGAAAATGTGATCCAGCACGATGCACCTGTTGCGTCTTCTCTCCTCCCCGTTGTCCGGCTGCTCGTCCAGTTCACCCACCAGCTGACTCAGAAGTCCAATGGCCTCTTCAGTAGATTTGGGCTCTCTCATTATCCCAGAGTTTTCATCGTTTTGATCATTTTCTAGAATTGATAGCTTTTGAAGTAGAAAACAGTTTGAGGACCAACACTATTTGAGAAGCGAATGCGCGTAGAAAAGGCATTTTTGCCTAAATTTTTCAAAAGGTGCTCCAAAGCGCCTTAGTTTCTCTAATTCGTAAAAATAAGCCGAGCAAAAAAAACAAAAGAAAAAAGATGTTTTCAAAAAATAGATTAAAAATTTTTTAGGCAGGGGCGGATCTAGGATTTTCAAAAAAAGTTTTGTCGACCTTTTTTTTAGCTTGTACAAATTGATTCTCCGAGCTCTCCCAAAGCACTAAAAAGACTATGTTGTGGCCAAACTATCTGCGCTGCAGGCAAAACTCGGAAAAAAAACAGGCCAAAAAAGGCGTTTTTAGGCACTTTCTGTAATTTAAAAAAATCGCGTTTTTTTAGGCCCTCTTCAAAATTAGTTTATATTGGCGCCCAAGGCGCCTTTATAAAATTTTTAGGGTCCGTCAGCCAAACATAGATATCTCAAAATAGTACAAAGGGGGGAGGCCTTGTGGGTCCACAGGGGGGGGGGGGGCGTCGAATCCCTGAGGAAAAAGCATCCGACCCGAAACCCCCCTTAAATTCGCCCCTGTATTTAGTTGTTTTTATTGCTCACTCCAAAAAATCCTAGTAGATCCATCCCCAAAAAACTAGAAGTATTATAACAAGGAGATTGGTTCTTCAATTCTTTCATAAAAAGAGCTTGATTTAGTGGGTATACTTTTCAGATATACTTTTCATAAATCGTGTATTTCCATGATACATGCATTATTCAATTTATATGAAGAAGATATTTAAATAATTAGTAGAGCTTTACACAAATACCTAAAAAACACTGTCAGATTATGGACTAACGTTTGCGGAAGAACACTTGAAAGATTTTAGAGTAGCTGTAGTAGTACATGTTGATGTTGATGACATTGTACAGCAGAGACAGTGCTATCAGCCCAATCGTCACCAGAAAATAATATCCTGAAAAGAATGAGTTTAAGAAATCATGTCTTGTTGTCTCTAATATTACGGAAAGGCTTGGCCAAAAGATTCGAGTTTAAGTAGTTAAATCATGCCATGCAGATTGCATGCGTTTTTAACGAGTTATGCGGGCTTTCTGCTGAAAAAAAAACATTTCTGCGGAAAAAATACATTTCTGAAAAAAATGCGGAAATTCTCTGCCAAAGGTGAGCATATTTTTGCCATTTAAACCATTGTACAAGTCATATTATGCCATTTTTTTAAATTAACTTTCCACCGCCAAATTTTTTTGTTCGAAGATTAAAGTACCTAAAAACATCTCTCAGAACATTTGAAATTTTCATTGGAATTTTTCTCATAAAAACTCTTAGTTTGCTCAAAATGCTTCAATAACGCGGAATCTCTGCGGGATTGATCAATTTCAAATTTGAAGCTTTTTACGCGGTAACTATGCGGAGTTATGTGCCGCAGATTTGTGGCAATCTCAATTACGGCTTAAAATAATCTTTGGCATATGCACAATGATACTATTTTCCGTAATTTTGGCTAAACAACTTGATGAGTCCGGGTATTAGTGCCACAAATGTTTTTCAAAGTTTAAGGAAAACATGGAATTTCAATTATACAAAAATGGGGTAATTTATAAGTCAAAGCACATGGCAGCAAAAATTACAACAAATTCCACACGATAGCAGAAGTTAAGAAAAATCATCATTCCTCATATTTTTTAGCGCTTCAAAGTTTTTAATGACCATTATTTAAATAAAGCACTGGGCAAGACAGACAGATGCCGATTTTGTGGCGATAGCTAGATAAGCAGTATTTCAGATCAAAATTGCCTTGTTGTTGTTCCGACTTTCGAAACGAAAGTAACGGAATATTTGTGCTCGGGGTGGGTTTTTTTTTCTTCAGACAATTTTCGACTTTTTAACTAGCCGTTTTTGACGGAATTTTTTTATATCATTCGAAAGCCATTGTTGTCCTGCGCTTAAATTTGAAAAGATATTTCACCTGTGATCATTTTTCGTAAAGTTATGAGGGTTTAAAGATTGCCATTTTGGCCATTTTGACCAATTTGGGACAATTAACGCGCGATATAATTTGCGCGATTAACGCGTAAGCGGAGATTTAATCCGTCTTATAAATCATTCCAAATTGGTTGAACGAAGCTTATTTGCCATAATTGATTTGTTACTTACGTGGCTACCTGACGGGAGGTCTCAGCCCCCTGAACACATCGAACCACACTAGCACCACTTCTCACATCTAATTTCACCGGTAGATAATCACTCAAGCTACTGTATTGAACAGAGCTAGTAAGTATTGAATGCTCCGGTACAAACTGAGATGCAAATTTAGGCGCCGAGGCGGATTCGAACAAGCGGTCCTCCCGTACAAGCATGTTTGAAATTGAAATTCGAAGTATCCCTTTGACTAAGCCGGCCTACCATTGAGAATTCACCGCTCAAATATACGGCTTTGCTTTGTGTATTACCTTGCTCTTGCTTGCGTTCATTTGCGTTTATTTACATAATAAGCAAACCAACTGGTGTGTTTTTCTTAAAATCGGAGGTAAAATAATCAACTACGCTAAGGAAAATAGCAACGACCGCATTGCTATTTTATTGTTCCGACTTTCGATACGAAAGTAACGGAATATTTGTGCTCGGGGTGGGTTTTTTTTCTTCAGACAAATTTTGACTTTTAAACTAGCCATTTTTGATAAAAATTTTTTATATCATTCAAAAGGTATTGTTGTCCTGAGCTTAAATTTGAAAAGATATTTCACCTGTGATCATTTTTCGTAAAGTTGTGAGGGTTTAAAGATTGCCATTTTAGCCATTTTGGCCAAATTGGGACAATTAACGCGCAATATAATTCGCGCTAATAACGCGTAAGCGGATAATTAATCCGTCTGAGCAATCGTTCCGAATTGGTTGATTTGCCATAAATGAATTGTTATTAGGAGCAAAATTTATCACTTTTTATTTTACGTAGAGGAGATATAGAGGGGTTGCGCCCTGATACGATCAGTCATTTTAATTCTTCTGTTTCTTACAATGCGAGAATTAAATTGCATAAACTATGGATCAAAGCCTTGATCTGTATTTTAAAAAAAAACAAGGCAAAAAATTGATTAATTGTTTCAAAATTTGCTTTACTGAAATAGCAACGCCGTATTGTCTAATCTTTGATCAATTAATTTGCATTTTAGATGCAAATTTTTTTTTTTGAAAAAAGAGTAAGATGAGGAAAAAGAGTTTGTTTCAAAAAAGGCGAAGCACTCACATGAAAAAAAAGAAATTAGTATATGGTATCACCTATAATTTTTTTAATGCACGTTCATGTTTTTGTTTCACATACAAACGTTTTGCTGAATTCATTTTTGAGCTGACTGCGTCCATTATCCTAGACAAATTTTTAGCAGTTTGAACTTGTGTTGGTTGGGTTTAGAGTAACATGGAACTTTGATACTTAAATAAAGAGCAATTATAGTGTTGAACAGTACGAGAATAAAAATGGGCAAACTTTGAAGAAGCTTGATGGTAGTATAGCAGCTTTTTTAAAGAAAAGATATGAAATACGTTCCTGCCAAATTAGTAGTTGAAACCGAAAGAAACATATAACTACTCATTCCTTGATAATTTTTTCCTTGATAAGGCTTTCAGAGGTTGTCTCTCATACAAATCACTATTTCATCTCTAACAAAGATTTTCATAGCTCTAGCCATTAGAGAGTTTAGGGGCAGGGGTGTCCTCCCCTTTCAAGGATTCGATCCCCTGCCAACCCAAAGAATCCCCCTCTGTACTATTATGAGATGTCCATTTTTGACTGACGGACCCTTAAGATTTTCCAAAGGCGCTTTTGACGCCAATATTTACTATTTTTGAGCGGGATGGGCGCGCCGAAAAAACGCGACTTCTTGGTCAAATTTTCCTGAAAATTTTTTGCCCTGTTTTTGTGTCTCCTTTTCAATTCAAAATTCTTCGAGAAAATCCTAGATCTAACTAGGAAAGCCTTTTCCCAATTTTGTTACTTCAAAATTAGGAAAGCCTTTTCCTAATTTTGAAGTAACTTCAAGGTAACTTCAAGGTGTTACTTCAAGGTGTTACTTCAAGGTAACAAAATTAGGAAAGCCTTTTTCCTAATTTTGTTACTTTTTCCTAATTTTAAAAGTAGCCGAGAAGCTACTTTTAAAATGAACGAAAAAACAGTCCGATACAAAAAAACTCAATGAACAGTCCGAAAAACAGTCCTAAGTAATAATTGTTTTAACAAGCCGGTAGGCCGAGAATTGTCCTTTGTTCAACAAACATTAAGAAAAAATAGTGACCGCCGAAAAACTATCTTATTTCCGAAAAGTAGCAAAACTCACAAGTTATATATTTGGCTACTTTTAAAATAGAAAATGTTCGTTTATCGTGTTCCATGAGAATTTGCAGAACTCAGCTTTACTTGAACTTTTGTTGCCAAGCGTTTTCATCAATTTAAAAATAAAGTACAATCAAGCAAATGTTGTGACATCTTTTTCGCTGGAAATTTATTATTGAATTGTATTCACTTGAATTCCGTTGAATGGATTTTTCAACATGAAGATCCATTCGCTGTGTAATAATTACAGATTTTTCTGCCCTCAATGATTGAAGCATATCGAAAAACTATCTTATTTCCGAAACAATTTTGTCTTCAGCATTTGTCCTATATTCAATGAAAGTAATTGAAAAATTACAAAAACTTATTTCTGGTGTTATCGAGTGATATTGAGTTCAGTGTCAGGTTTGATTCACGTTACTTCCCTTGCAACGCCTGCTTTAGGTTCTCAGGGTCTCACAAGTTATATAGTTTGTTGTAAGATCCTTGGCCATGACCCAATTTACAATTTTCTTAATTGATACTCATCATTTTGGACGTTCTCTTTGCTTGAAGCATTTAAAAAATAACTTGCAAACTGTTCTAAGAAGCAGTAAGTAGCGATGCCTAATGGTGAACTAATATCTGAAAGAACATTCCGAGCTGCTTTTTTTTTGTTTCCACTTTTTTAGTTTTGTCACGCTTGATAGTCTGAAAAATTTCCGATTCGAAAAAACGTACTTTTTTGTTACAATACTCACGTAAAATGGAGAATAAATATAAACTTGAATGTTTTTGTCCGCTTAATTTTTGGTGTTTCACAGAATTTTGGTGAAGTTTGGTATCAAATGAAAACTTTTTCAGTCGTGATTTAGTCATTGAATAGTATTTCAAAAAGTTTGCTCACTGCCGAGAAAAAAGAAAAAAATTCGGAATAATCTTTCTACACCTTACTAATCTTGATCGCACTGCCCAACCTTTAAAAAGTTACAAGCTCGTTTTTTATGTTTTTCATGGGCGAAAAAGACATTTCTTAGTATCGGAGACTGAAGAATGGCACATTCGTTGCTATTTGGAATAACAAAGGCCACTCCTAGACCTACACGTGATACGATTTCCTTCGGTTGACTAACCTAGTCTGGGGAAATGTTGGGAGGAGGTGGGGATGAGGCCTGAGAGGATGAAGAGGTTGACCACTTGAGCCAGCATGATGGTCATCCCCAGACCCATCTTCTCCCCACTGTCCACTGGCAGGTAGATCGACAAAACCACCAGCACTATAATCAGATCTACTGACATAGATTGTTAAGTAGATTAAAACTGAAGGTTTTTTGACAAACCAGAATGCAGCAAATTAGAAATTTCAATAAAAGCTTGTCTATACGGCAGGGGTATAGGTAGGGGATGGAGATTCTTAAGTAGATACCATAGGGGGGTTATTGCTAGGTAGATGACTATAATGACATGGAAATGGGAAAATGGTTCAATAAAGAGATAAGAGGTGCAACCATGCCGTCCATCGAGTGCTGATTTAAATTAACCGGATCAAACGAACAAATTTTGAAATTTAAACCCGTTTTTTTTTTCAAATTAGGTTAAGTTTAGACAAAAAATCAAGAGAACAAATATTGCTTAGAGTTTTGCTAGAGTTATAATGGTGCAATTTTTTTAACCGAAATTCTCAACCAAAAATTTACCCCAAAAATGGGCCATCTTGGCTTTTTTTTAATTAATCGAAAATTACGCTGAAACTACTATGTTAATAGATGAGAAAATTATAACACAAGAAGCCTCTTACACGGCCCAACAAAGTTCTAGAAGTGTTAAATCTCCAAAAACTTGCGCAAATTGTTCAAAATTTGCTTTTAAGCAAAGATTTTGGGTTTTATATAGTAAAAATCACATTTGTTGACAGCAAGCAAAAATCTTTTCTCTTATGCAGGTTTTTAGAGATTTAACCCTTTAGAACATTGTTGGGCTGTGTAAGAGGCTTCTTGTCTTATAATTTTCTTATCTATTAACAAAGTAGTTTCAGCGTAATTCTTGATTAATTAATTGATCAATTAGTTAAACTTGATTGACCCATTTTTGGGGAAAATGTTTGGTTGAGAATTCCGGAGAAAAATGCATCAAACTAATTCTGGCAAAAATTTAAGCTACGTTTGTTCTCTTCACTTTTTGTCTAATGTTAACCCAATTTGAGAAAAATGCGTTTGAAGTTTCAACATTTTTTCGTTTTGTCTGGTTATTTTAAGTCAGTACTGGATTCTCATTGTCGCTATTTTTTTACCCTAAATTTGTTAGTTATAAAATTTCTTTTAACGAATGTATATGAACCTGCAGAAACGATTGCATATGCACCTGTCGATTTACAAACCAGCCAAAAGTCATGATACAAACACAACCAAACGTTTTTAAAAATTTAGTGCGAGGAAAAACGTGATCTATATTATGTTTTAAAATTATCAGTTCAAAAAGTCGAAAATATATCGAAAATATACAACGCTCAAGGAAATAAAACAACAAGTAGAGTATTCGCATTTAATTTTTTCCCAAGAAAGTTTTACCGAGAACCAATATTTTGCAGTAAATTCGTGAAATTAAAACCCAAAACCCCAAAAAAAGCGTCACCACATTGACATAATTCCATGAAATAATCAACAAACGAGCTTCTGGAAATTCACAAAGCATCGACAAACCCAAAAACAATTACAGCAGTAATTGCTACAATATGAATAAGATTTTCATCAGACATCCATAGGAAGTGATGGCGGAGCTATCAGAATTGATTTTCAGGGAAGGATTTTTTCTGGTGCTTTCAAAGTTAAGTTAATTAAAAATTAAGCCCATCTAAAAAGACACAGACAAAAAAACCTGAAAAATTTCATTTATTTCACTTTTTCTAATGATAGGAAAAATCTTTGATAACTTAATATATAATTGTATGAAAAAGAGTTTTTTTTTCCAAAAATTTAGTACCTTTTCGAAACCCAATTTGTTTTCCGTAACAGGCGATCATCTGTAGACGCAATTGTGAACCTAATTCAAGACATAAAAAACTTACACAAACTTCCTAAATCTTACTTTGAAAACAGCAAACATCGTATTGAAATTTGGGGCAATTAACAGAATGAAACGTTGAACAAATAGGATGCGATAAACTTCAATTCCGGGTCTTTTACTATTTTTTTACATCAAGGTTCTATCGGTCATTGAACAACCCAACAACAAATTTAGACTTTATGCAGATGTGACAAAACTGAAAATAGCCACATTGAACTAATAAAAGAAACAATTGCTTCAGTTCTGAGGATTCTTTTATCAAATACGCAAACTTTCAACCTCAAAATGAATGATCATAGCGCACAAACTTTAAAAGCATGGCGTAAAAGACTTAAAAGCAAAAAATCTGATATTTCAACTTTAAAGATTTGACATAGGATAATTTTAAATTGTTGACCAAAATCTTCAGAAAAAGACTGAAAATGACACAATATGATTATCTATTTCTTCCCGAACTCAGAACTGCCGAACTCAGAATTTTGATCAGAACTGCCATGACAAAACTAAAAACCAATTCAATAATATATTGCTGGATTAATAATGGAAGGACAAAGTGACGTTAAAGTTTTTAGAAGATCTAAGTAACGGAAAGATCACTAATTTTAAAAAGAAATTTTTTTTTTTCGCTTTCTAGATCTGGATCATTATCTATTTTATAGAAGCATTATAAACAAAGAAGTTGCCTGGACAAAATATTCTATTTTTTCTGACTTGAGAGCGCCCAAAAACAGCCGCTTGCTAGGCGTAAACGCGTAAATATAAACCCTGTTATAATAATGACAACCCTAGATTGGAACCATTTGTTTTCTAGTTACGAGCAGTGTTTTACTCACGAGTGAGCATGAGACATGGGACTACGAGAGTGTAGACGAAGAAGGCTGGCTTCCTGCTCAGAGTGAGAGTGTAGACCATGACATCAAACTCTTTAGCCACATCGTGCACTGCTGATCTGGTCTCATACTCGAGTGAAGTGGACACCAGGTCC